ACTCTTTACAAATGTAGATGTACTCTGAAAAGCTGGAAATATGCGGTTGGTCGTTACACGCTTAGTATGTGTTGTATCTGAAAAGCTGGAATCATCTTTACTTCTTTCTCCTTTGTTTTGAGTGTGTAACCTGTGCAGCCGGTCGTTTTTGTCTCTGTATTGGTTTATATCTCTTAGTTATTATGCATGCATAGTTGTATCCACCAAAACATTATAGTATAATACCACTGGTTCTCTAGCTTTTCATAGGCTTCTTTGCACGGCTTGACTTTATCCTAGTGTAGTTGTGTGTTGAAAGGCTGGAAACATCTTTTGTTTTCTTTGTCCTCTAACAGTTTTGAGTAACCTGTACGGTCGGTCGTTATAACAGTATTGGCTAAAATTATAATCTATTAGCTTTTAAGCATGCCTGGTTGTAGAAATCAACACATTATTGTGGTTTACCACAGGTTTTTAGCTTTCTGTCGGCTTCTTGCACGGCGAAACTCTATCTGAAGCCTAGATGTGTTCTGGAAATCTGGAAACATCTTTATTTCTTTTTTAAAGTTATATTTTAGTACTGTTTTGAGTAACTTGTGTGGTCGGTTGTTTAACTCTCATTATTGGTTGTAATCTATTTAATTTTTGTGCAAGCCTAGTTTTAACAACCAAGACAGTATTGTGTTTTACCACAGGTTCTAGCTTTCCCTAGGCTTTTTGGACGACTGAATTCTATCCAAGCGTAGATATGTGCTCTGAAATGCTGGAAACATCTTTATTTCTTTGTTCTCTAACTGTTTTGAGTAGCTTGTGCGGTCGGTCGTTACACCCTCAGTACTGCTAGTAATCAATTTGTTTTCGTGCATGCCAAGTTGTAACAACAAATACGTTATTGTGTTTAACCACAGGTTATAGCTTTCTATAGACTTTTTTTTGCACGAAGAAACTCAATCCAAACCTACGTGCGTTCTGATTAGCTGAAAACGTCTTTTACTTTTTGTGAGGTGTGCTGACAAAATGAGTTACTTGTCGCTGTCCAAGAATGGAGATATCGGCCGAAAATCGACACTGCCGTCAGATTTATGGATTTCTAATTGATGCTATTTTGTTCAAGTTTACTGAGTTTTCTATTCTTCCATACTTACAAATTGTACAAACTGGACCTATAAAGTTGATGTATCAATTTCCATAAGGCTAAAATCGGAGAAGTAACTCATTTTGTCAGCGCACCACACATTTTTTTATAGTACGAATTTGAGGAAATTGTGCGGTCGGTCGTTAAAGTCTCAGTATTGTTTATAATCTATTAGTTTTTGTACATGCCTAATTATAACAACCGAGACATTATTGTGTTTTATCACGGTTTCTAGCTTTCTATTGGCTTTTTTTTTGCACACAGAAACTGTACCCAAGCCTAGATGTGTTCTAAAAAGTTGGAAATATCTTTATTTCTTTCTCTTTTTACTGCTTTTAAAAACCTGTAAGCTTGGATTGTTACACTCTCGGTATTGGCTATAATTTTATTTATAATCTGTTATTTTCTATGCATGCCTAATTGTAACAAGCAACACATTATTGTGTTTTATCACATATGCTAGCTTTTTATAGGCTTTTTTGCATGATGTAACTCTATCCCAGTCTAGATGTGTTTTGGAAAGCTGAAAACATCTTTTTTTTTCTTTGTCCTCTAACAGTTTTGAGCAACCTGCGTGATCGATCGTTACACTCTCAATCAGCAATGCCTTTCAGCCTTGGCAGGGTATAGGCCACGTACAAGCCCCTTCCATTTATCTCTGTCCTGGGCCGTCCTTCTAAGCTCGTTTCAAGTGAGCTTCATCTCTCTCGTGTCCTTTTCCAAACATCTCCATGTTTCCTGTGGCCTACCCCTGCCTCGTGCTTCCTGTGGGTCCCACTGCGGCGACTGTCTTGTGAGGTTTCCGCTGGGTCTTCTGAGAGTGTGTCACGTCCATCATCACTTTCTTAGTCCTATTTCTACTTCTTTATCCTTTTGTCTTGTCTTTTCCCACAGCTCTTCATTTCTTATATTTTTATCCTGCCACTTTTTAAAAATCCCTTGCTCATTTATATGAGATTGACGCCTTCTGATAGTAGGAAAAAGTGCGTATGATAGTGTTCAATAGTGTATAACATGCATATTTATTAGTATGACTAGAAACTGTTACAGGTAGAGATTCCAGGATCACAGATGTAAGTCATTGATCTGAGAGCGGTGATTATTTTAGAAATAATAGTGGTGATGAGTGGTGATGAGTGGTGATGTGAGATTGCGTTTGATTAAGTAATGTTGGCGTTAGTCCCATCTTCCTCTGCTCCGATGAGTCACGATGGACGTGGGCACCCTCTATCCTGTTCCATACTGGAACCATCTTTACGGTCACCGTGAAGTTCCGAAATGGTGGGCATAGTCTCTGCTAAGGTGACATTGTTAGATCTAGTGTTAGCCTATTCTATCTGGCCAAGACAAGTGTCGAGAGGAGCTAAGTGGGAAGACAGTATAGTGGCAGGTATGCTGGGGTATTTATAAGCGGGTTGGAGGTAGCAAGTTGGCAAACAGAATACAGATGCATTCTACTCCCAGATAATTTCCCCCGAGTATTCTTTTCGAGTCCTATTACTTGCAGAGATTCTGACACAGGATCCTCGAACCCGAGTCGAGAGTGTACAATTTACACATAATATTGTATCCCCTCACCTCAGGGGGAGCGATCCTATCCTGCCACTTAATTTTTAGGATACTCCTAAAACATCTGTTGATGAAAGTCTGGACTGTATCCAGTACTGTCTTTGTTGTCTTCCAAGTTTCGTAGCCGTAGAGGAGCACAGACTTATTGACACTGCTGGAGGTAAAGAGTTGTTGCTTGCTTTCCATACTTTTGATAATTGCTTGAATGCTGACCTTGCCTTGGCGTTTCTTGCTTTTACATCTGCCTCACTTCCACCTTTACCATCGATGGCACATCTAAGGTAGGTAAAGGAGTCCAATTTTTCCAGGGACGAGTCTTTCACTTTCACAGTAAGGTTTGAAACGTTTCCTAGCTTCACTACTTTCGACTTTCCCGGATGTATACGTAGGCCAATACACTCCTTGGTCGTTTCTTGCATATGAGCATGTTATGAGAGAGTAGTGCAAGGTCATCAGCGAAGTCCAAGTCGTACAGCTGCCACCAAGGGGGTCGACTGTATTCCATTGCCCGTGCCTCTGGAGACTTCTTTCATGATCCACTCTCAGTATTGGTTATATTATATATTAGTTGGTGTGCATGCCTAGTTGTTACAAGCAACACATTATGTGTTTTATTACAGGTTCTAGCTTTCTATATGCGTCTTTGCGCGCACGACTAAACTGTACCCTAGTCTAGATGTGATTTGAAACGCTGGAAACATCTTTACTCTTGTCCTTTTACAAAGTAACCTGTGTGGTCGGTCGTTATAACAGTGTCGCAGTAGGCTTTTTATAAGTTAGGCCTATAATCTATTTGTGAGGTGTGCTGACAAAATGAGTTACTTGTCGCTGTCCAAGAATGGAGATATCGGCCGAAAATCGACACTGCCGTCAGATTTATGGATTTCTAATTGATGCTATTTTGTTCAAGTTTACTGAGTCTTCTATTCTTCCATACTTACAAATTGTACAAACTGGACCTATAAAGTTGATGTATCAATTTCCATAAGGCTAAAATCGGAGAAGTAACTCATTTTGTCAGCGCACCACACATTTGTTTTTGCACACGCCTAGTTGTAACAACCAACACACTATGGTATTTTCCAGCAGTTTCTAGCTTTATGTAGGCATTTTTGAATGACAAAACGCTACTCAAGCCAATATTTTTTTTCTAAAAAGGATGAAACATTTTTTTTGGTGGTAGACCTACTCCTTTGAGGAACTTGTGCGGTCGGTCGTTACACTCTCAGCATTGGTTATATCTACTAGTTTTTGTGCATGCCTATACATCTATTAAGCCTACAACTTGCACATTATTGTGTTTTAACACACGTTTCAACTAAACTCTTTCCAAATGTCGATGTGTTCTGAAAAGCTGGATTTTTTCTTTGAAGGGTGTACTATATAGGCCTCCCTTTTGAATAGGCATACCATGTGTGGACGTGATCGCTCGTTACACTCTCCAGTATTGGTCATATTCTATTAGTTTCTGTGCATGGCCAGTTGTAACAACCAACAAGTAATTAGATCTATTATTGTGTTTCACCACAGGTGCAGCTTTTTACCTGTACTGGCTTTTTTTCCTCGACTATATATACTCACGTCCTATTATTGATACAATGCATAATATTATCAGAGAGTTTATCGAATAAGGGCAACCCTGCTTATTAATTATCAGTTTTCTTTTAACGCAAGGAACAATGGGAAAAGTTGTCACAGTAACTTACTAAAATCACTAAAGATTTCATGATCTATTGTTATTTTATTCACCGAAGGAGAAATAAAACAGATTTGTTCCGATCAGTAGGCCTAGGCCTGAAGAGATATAAGCAAAATAAGGTTAAATGTGCCGCCCCCGCCCCCTTTTTATCCCCCCCCCCCGTTTATTAATTTTGGACTACTTTTCCAACCCTCTCCCCCACGTGCATTCCAACCTCCCCGTTTATTAAATTAATTGGACCACTTATCCTCCACCCCCCCCCCCCTCCTTTTATTCGATACCTTGGAGCATTCATAGTGCAAGTCAAAAAGTCAGTGCTTACACTCTTCCATGTCGTCAGGTACGAGTTGAAGTATACCAATCGATCTTGTTTTTCAGTGCCACTTACCCCCTTTAAAACCGAATACTTAAGCCTACCAATTAATGTATAAATTAAATTAGCTAGGCCTATACGTTCTTATACTATCTGACCGTCTAGGCCTAGGCCTATGCTCTATTCTTGTGAGGCTGGAATAAGATCTTTCGAAACAAATTGGTGACGACGAACCAAAATATTCGGCAATTTATAGTTTCGGAAAATGATTCTTTATACCAATAAGGGGAGGTTAGGCAGTTTACTTTTCTCGTACGGTGTAACCTCCACCACAGCAGAGGCTAAATCTTATAAACACAGGGCCAAGAACAGGCCTGTGTTATGAAATCATGTCGCGCATGTTATTGTTTTAACTGTTAACCTAACACACAGTGACGTACTGTAGATCTAGACCTAAGTCTAAGACGTGTAATCTTGTTAATCACGTCATGGTCCATGCTCTCAAACGTGTGAAAAAGTGTAATCTGCTGTGTCAGAACCGTCGCCAGTTCTTTAGGCTAGATTTTAAACCCTTCGTTTTTGCCCGAGTTTCCATCGGCATCGCTTCGTCACCCACCAGTCGTTATTTTTCCACTCTACCTCGAAGATCTCTGCAGGTATTGTTACCCTTCAAATGGTCACACCGTGTGATAACGATCATCAGTAACGAACTGAACAAGGGAACAACGAGAGACATCCGGACAGGTTAGCCTAATAATTTTAGGCCTAATAATGGATCATGAAAAAAATAATTCACAGTTATTAAATTCTAGATTTAGATCTAGATCTAGATCTAGATCTTCTAGATCTAGATCTAGAATCTAGATTAGAGATAAAATTTAGGCCTACTATTTAGACCTCTCTGTCTGAGTACATCTGGAGAGGATCTCTCATATATGTCTCTCTTTATAATTATTATCAATTTGTCATGCAGCGTGGTGGAATCAGGCTCTCGTCAATTTTGGTGCATGTAGAGTTATTGATCAGCTTCAAGCTTGTTCACTTATCTTTATTTAGATTTTTAAAAATCCATTTATCTTGAATACAAGTCGAGATATATATGCGAATGAATGAGGTGGGCGTCACCTGTTTTCAGAGGTAAAATTAGTGAGAAAATGGCGGCCAAAGATTAGTTGTTTCCTTAGCTTAAGAGTCCGTGGTAACTGAAAATGTACAATTTTTGTGCCTTTAATCAACGTTTTTCAGTAAAATACGCACAGAAATGAGTTTTTTAATGGGCATGAAAGGTGTTGAACCAAAAAACAAAACATTGATAAAAATTCACAAACCTGCGGATAAATGCAAGTTTCTTCTCTTTGATTATTTTGACGAGAGCCTGATTCCACCATGATGCCTCACATTTATTTCTCTGTCTCTTACTTTATCTATCAAGATCAACTTTACCGTTTGGGATTCTCTGCTTTGGCTCAGTCAGGAGTCAACATGCCCCAATTGTCTTTTTTATCAAGTAGCCTATCAAGAGAAACTCACCCCCTTTCACTTTCAAAGCCCCAACTTTTCAATTGTAACATTCTTTTAAATGCTTTTTTTCATTGTTCTTTATCGTCTGTGATCTGATTGCAATCTTTCCATAGAAATTTTGCTCCACAAACAGGCCAGCACTCGTGCACTTGCACTTGTCCCACCTTTGAATTGCGTCGTCTGGAGAACTGAGGGCAGAAAATTTCCAGATTTTTCTTTAATATGATTATGTCCCTTTGTCTGCTGTCCTGTCAAGTAGATCTTTTGACAACAAACCAGTCCATTCTTTGGTGGTGTCAAACCAGCCTTTTCCCTGTCATCCTCCTCTGACTGCCCTCAACAGTTACAGTCACAGTGCTCTCGCAAGGCTTAATTCATGCAGTGCTGTGTGAAGTGCTGCCAATCATTACGAATTTGGCAGAATCGTGATTTTTATTCAGTTTTATGAAAATATGATTTTAATACCCCTTATTCCGATTTGTTTAAAAATTGACTGCCGACCCACAACACCCTCTTTCTATTGAGCCATTGCAGTCGCTCATCAGTACCTCTTTGCCCTGAGAAAAACATAGCCTTTAGGAGTGCCAAAGCCAGTAGAAAAGCAAACATTAGGTTGACAAGGTGTTAGAAAAAAAAAGAGTAACAGCCATGAGGTATGTTTTTTTACAAATGGATCATTGTTTGAAACTTGAAACTAGCTACAGTACCAGTGGTTTAGTGGCATGGTGTGCTGTGGTGCACAATCAGGCTCAAAGGCCTAATATGACATCTGTAGTTCCAAAGTCTTCTTTTGTTTTTGCGAACAGTAACTAACCCCCCCCCCCTCCCCTCCCCCCACTTTTTTTTATCTTAACCTGACAATGATGAGCTTTGCGAAACCTCTTTTTCATCACGCCTTTGTTTAACGTTACATTTATACTTGACCTCTATACCCCTATCCTTGACACCCGAGGGAAGAAAACTATCCATGGCCATATTACACATTTTTTAATTCTCTATTTTTATTCATCCTTTCTTTGTTGATAACTAAAACATATGCTGGCGGGTGGGCAGCCCTGTGTGTATCTGAGCCATACAAGTTTCCTCCTTTTCACCGCAGCCAGCAGTAGTGGCCCTTGCGGTCACACTACAGTTGAACCTGTGTAAGACGGTATTGCAAGGGAGGCAGAAAAAAATTCCGTCTCAGACATTTTCCCTGGGGAGATGGAGGGGGATTTCAAAGGCCCAGCTGGTGGGATCAAGGGTCGTTTGTCCGGTCGGCAAGCAGTGGTCAAAACTTCACACCTCAACTGCTATCCTCTCTGATGATGACGTGGGTCAGTCTTACTTACCCAATTACCACTGGTGTTTGCATTTCATAGGACCACTGTTTGACTTATTAAAAACAGAAACGTTCAAACATTTCATTTGCTTCCACCCTTACCCCCCCACCCATAGGTGTAAGAAACATAGTCAACGAATGCCACCCCTCACTGTATGGAACAATGATTCGAGGAACTCTTTTCTCGGCGGGCTGTGCTATCAGGACGGCAGGCATTCATCATTGCCTTTCTCAACCTGCACTGGGGTGTAGGCCACAGACAAACACTTTCCACCTTTCTCTATCCTGGGTTAGCCTCTTAATGTTATTCCATGTCTTCCCACTTTTCTGTACATTAATTTTTGTGATTCTTCTCCAGGTTCCACGCAGTTTTCCCCTTGATCTCTTACCCTGTGGATTCCAGTACAACACTTTCTTTGTTTTGCAGCTGCCCGACTTCCTGAAAGTATGTCCAATCCATCGCCACCACCTTCTTCCTACCTCATCTCTGACTGGGATCTGTCTTATTTTCCTTAACACTTCCTCATTGGTGACCTGTCTGTCCATCTGATCCTCAGTAACTTTCTTAGACACTGTTTTAGAAAACCTGGATCCTCTTTATGCAAGTCTGTGATGCGTTCCATGTCTCACATCCATACAACAGGACTGACTTCACATTTGAATTGAAAAACCTCAGCTTTGTTCGAAGTAAGATATCTCTGTTCTTCCAAATCCTATTCAAAGATATGAGGGCAGCCTGCGCTTTTCCAATGCAGGACTTTATTTGAGCACCTGTTCCTCCCTCTCTGTCATTTATACGAGTCCCAAGATAGCAGAAGGATACAACGTCTTCTAGTGCATTTCTTTCTATTGTGACCTTCTCCTTTCGTTGTGCATCTGTCTTTAGGACCTTCGACTTTCCAGGGTGAATCCTCAATCCAACAGACTCTGATAGCTGTTTAATATTGAAGTCTTTGTTTGCATCTGTTCCTGGGTGTATGACAGAAGCGCCAAGTCGTCGCAAAATCCAGATCATGCAACTGTGTCTATGGGGTCCACTGTATACCATTTCTGTACAGCAGGCATTGGTCAAACTAATTTCACACTTTTGGCTTTTGGCTACCCAGGAAAGTTTCCGTGGTGGTTCGTCACTCGAGCACTTTCACTGGCACTCATAAATATATGTGTGTATATAAAGTGTATAAAAAAGTATATATAATGTACTAATATATATAATTTTTGGGGGGAATGAAAGTCCTCTAACCTGGATTCCATATCATCTTTTTGTTGTAATGTGGAATGTGTATTCAAATTTGAACGCACAGGCCTATTTTTAAACTTGTTTTTCGGTGAAAAAAAATTTTGATAGTCAGCTATTCTGTTCAGATGTATGAAATCCAAATTTAAAATCACATTTTATTTTTAAAGTTTCTGATCTGCGGTATCAATTGCATGGGCTCAAGCAATACTTTGTCAAAATTCCAGTTCTAAATGTTGAAAAAAAGCTAGAAACAGTACATAAAGTAGGTACAATTTTCAAAAGAATGGAACAGTTTTTTCTCTCTCCTGAAACAATTTTCCTTTTGGGTTTAAAACATTTTAACAACTTGCCTGCAATATTATGTTTTCTACTGAATGCAAAAGCATGCCATGTCTCTGGATACAGATACACTCATGGAGCCGAGGCTGCGTGTGGCTGTCATTGGAGCTGGGGCTGCTGGGCTTGTTGCTCTAAGGCACCTCAACACTGTGTCTTCCAACGACCTGTCACAGATCTCGGCAGTGGCACTTGAACAGGCTCCACATGTCGGAGGGACCTGGTTCTACACTAAAAAAACTGGCAATGATGACTTTGGTCTTCCTATTCACTCAAGCATGTACAAAAATCTACGGTAACTAGAACTATATATAGTTTTTATTAAAAAAACAACTAAAAATGCAATTTTTGTCCCCCTTTTTGGGGGGAGGGGGGCTGTGGAGGAGGAGAGGAGGAAGAAAGAAGTAGACTGTTGCACCAACTTCTTGAGGTGCTGCTCTCTTGGGAACTGTAGCTTCTCTTGTTCTCTTGGGGAGGGGTGGCATTTTTTCTCTGTACGGCCTACTTGCTCTTTTTTGTTGTTGCTTAGTTCTGTTTTGTGCCTGTTAGTCAACCAAAGGTATATGTTTGAGCCCTCAGTAGGCTCGTCAAAAGCTCAAGTGTGGTGCATGTCTTGGAAATGACTATTATTGTCTAGTGGGGTATTTCTTGGTTCCAAAAATGGGGGGGAAAAGTACCCTCTGTTTGTTAGTACTTTGATTTACGTTTCTGGTTTATTAGTTACCTTTTGCTTGGATTGGTTAGTGGCGTGGGATAGGAGGATATGAAGCTATTAGAGAAGTGTGAAAGATGATTTTTTATTGTAAAATAGATAATTTCTTGGTGTTCCTAAAATTTAATTCATATGTAGAGTTAAGTTAAAACTGAGATCAAATGCTGCTAATTTCATCAAGTTCAAGAAAAATAAGTAAGCTTTAATTTGATAGCAATAAATAACTCCATACACCCAAAGATTGATAAGCGCCTGATTCCACCACTCTGCAACACATACTAATACTACTCTATCAGAATCTCTCTTTATATCTCTGAGAAGCATGTTTTTTTTTACTAACTTATTTTCTGTCTACCCAATTGAGCCTCTGTAAATAGGAAAGTTGAAAGTGGCTTATATTCTTTTCCATTTCTTCAGCACTAACCTACCAAAGGAGTGCATGGCTTTCCCAGATTTCCAGTTTCCAGAGGAACTTCCCTCGTTTGTTGGGCATGAGGATGTTCAGAAGTATCTTGAGGACTATGCCACCCATTTTGATCTGTGGAAAGACATCAAGGTCAGTCAACTGTATGCATGGTCTGACAAGTTGCTTCCTAAGAATTACCAAGTTCTATCTGACTTGTTTGGCCATTTTGAGTTACCTTATTTAAATAGACCCCCAAAAAATGAACACCCTTGATCTCCTCAGGGTAGGTGGGATTGAGTGCTTAACTCTTTATCTCTGTGGGGGGTAAACCCACTGCCGAGACCCATTTTTTGAACTAAATCTAAAAATGACGAAAACGTCACTAAATTGGTCCTTTAATCAAAACAAGTGAACCTATTTCGATAGTTCTTCATCTAATGAATGAAATTCCAATAAAAGAGACCTGTTTTTGGCAATTGTCGAAAAGTAATTTGATGTCGAAGTTGTCGTAAAGGAATGTGCCTGAGCCGCTCAATGGCTCACCGACACAGCAGTTCCGACCACGAGCCGCTGGAAGCGGCTTTCCCGGAGGTAAAGAGTATCTACTTAGATAAGATGGGAGAAATGAAGAGTTCCTGTGGTCCCATTGCATGCTTGGCCTGTTGAGTCGAAGAAGAGAAGACTTGTAGCTGGATATGGAAAAGTTTCAAGTCAATCCCTGTCCAAAATTGAAGAAAACGTGGTCAGTGTAAGTAAATACTAAGAGTACCCTATAAAACAGCGTATGGGTACCTCTCAAATGGTGGAAGTCGAAATTGTAGATGGAGAATTGGTCTTTTGTTATATCAACCAGTTGCTTTGGAGGGACTAAGGACCTGCAACTGGTTCCTCAAGACACCTAGCAGGGGCAAAATGAAAGACTCTTACATTGTCTGTCTTGTAACTTTATTCCTAGACCCTCAATGCTATTTTTATCTCTAACCATAGCTCAAATTGCCCTAAAGACGACACGATTTTCATGCTTGAAAGAGATCAAAAGAGGAATGGTTGTTGTAGGCATGATGTAAACAAGAGTATTTGTTACTTAATTTCGTTAGCTATCATTCCATTCTGAGAGGTTTTATTCATAGTTGGTTAAAAAAATCAATGCTGTTATGCTCTAACTGTGAACCTGGAAGAAATAGGTTAACTTATTTAGGTTAAAAAACTATTGCTGAGGTCAATTAAAAATAAAATGTAGTTTTTTATGCTTCCATTGACGCGGTTTAGATTATTTAGGAGGTGTGCCTGTCAGGGCTAACCTGTGCTGAGAGGGACACAAAGGTCCCAGCAGAAAGATCGAGATACTTGATAAAACTTCTCCCCTCACAGGTTTCACTCGTCAGTGTTCTAAGTGTGATTGCAAAGTTCCTGTTTTTCCAAGCTCTATGTTTTTTATTGTTTTATTTTCTTTTCATCTCAAACAAAACAAACAAAATAGTTCCACACAAAGGTTGACTATATCAGACCGGTCTCAGATGAGAAAAGTAAATTCCAGACGCGGTGGGAGGTGACAACTTGTGATGTTCACAAGCTTGGGCAAAAGCAGAAGGAGGTATTTGACGCCGTTCTTGTGTGTAATGGGTAAGAAATTTGTTCTGATGAATTTTACTTCCTAGAGCAAAGCGTGTTCAGTTTTTGTTTTTGTTTTGAATTGTTATGAATACCCTACTGATAAAGAATCTGTATGTGTGTCCTCATTCACTCTTTCTCTCTCTCTCTCTGTGCCCCCCCCC